TGATTAGTCTTGCAGTCATGATTGTCAGTATGACCATGATTTTTAAGGCAGCGTAATCCACAATCCTGACAAGAAAGTCCACATAATGTCCAAAAATGTGTAAGCTTATCAATCTCTTTTTCAAGAGCATATTTTCCAATAACTACCTCACTATTGTCTTGTGGAAAATTGCTAATGTTTTCAGAAAACCATTGCTCAACACGATATATTCTTCGTTCAATAAGAAATTTGAAAAATAATTGTAAATTTTTAAACCATTCTGAATCATTTGCAGATTCTTTCCTTCCTTGAATGATGTCTTCAAATTGGGTTCTTAAATCAGATGAAAAATCAACAAAACCAACATTTTCTTCAAAGAGTAAAACATCTGAATCTGGAAATAGTTCATTTTGTGTATTGAATATTTCTGCAAATTTAGATAAATGAGGTTGGTGGTCTATTTTTTCTCCTGTATCATAAATTATTAAGTGCTTAGTTTCTTGTTCCTTTTGCTCTAAGCCATAAGATATAGCTACTGGAAGTATTCGCTTTAAAGTTGATAAACGTATTTGAACAAGATTTTCATCCAAAGATCCCCACTCACAAATTTTTAATTTGGCCATAATAATTTTAGTGTTTTGTAAAAATGTTCATGCATTTTCATATTTTGCTTTTTGAATATCCAATGTTTTTTTGACAGTTTTCAAAGTTTTTGAACCAAGCAGGATCATTAAATAATGGCCATGGTAAAATAGTTAATCCACTTTTATACATTCTGGTAATAAAATTATCTTCTCCTTGATCTCTAACTAAGTCATCAAATTTGAAACGAAACTCATCAACAATTCCTTTTCGATCATTTTCATGAACATCTTTAATTATGATGCAAAGTTTTGCTTGAAAAACATTTGAGTCAGATTTAAAAAAAAGCTGCACCATCTTGAAATCTTTGAAACATTCCTGACATGTCTCTACTAACAGCAAATTGATTTTTAAAAAGTATCATGTTAGAAACCATAGTGTTAAACAAAGTTAAAAATAAATCTTCTTGTGGTGTTCTTTCCAAAGACTTTAATCCTTCAAAATCAAGTGCAACATAAATATATTTTTTTGTTATAAATAATGACATCCACACTCCTTCAGTGCATCTCATTGCAGAACCATCAAATGTTGTTCCAACAAGGTGGTTCAACATATATGATTTCCCACATGATTGTTCACCCATACTTGAAACAACTTTGACTTGACGATCACCAAAATGTTTAAATATACCTTCATACCATCCAAGTGAAATATTTTCTGCAATGCCACCAAAACGATGCCCATGTTCAACATCAAAATCTACCTCATAATCATTTGATGCTAAACCATCTCAAAGTGGTTGAAATTGATTATTTTTAGCAACTGCAATCTGGATGGGTATTAAACATGAAAGTTGAATTATCCATTCTCCTAGTTGATATTTAATTGAATGTTTTGATATAAAATTATTTTCTTCAATGTCTAGATCTGAAAATGTTGTAATGGTGGTTTTAAAATGCTTTAAAATAGATGCAGGTTTTTTTGTTTTCTTCTTTAACTCATTGAACATACTAATAACATATTTTTCAAACTTTCTATCATAATTTTCATATTCATCATCATCATTTATATCAAGAACTATTTTCAAATTAAGTGGCCTGTTTTGCTCAGAATCTATGCAACTTTCAATTGGATACTTTTCAAACATTAATTTATATGCATCAATAAAACCATTAAGTTTTGTCTTTGGCACAGTTTGAAAGTCCACCCATGCATCATCATTGTCAAGTGATAAGGTATGATATACACCTGCAACTTTCAATTTGGTATCTGAAATTACATCAACAACACTTAATTTTTGTCCTTTAATGACAATGTACTCTCCCTCCTTTATGTTATGATTAAAATTGGTTTTTAAGATTGAAAATTTATTTTTATCATTATCAGAGGTAATTTTTAGCAATCTAATTTGACCAATTGGTTTTTTTTGATTACGTTGTTGAAATTGGTACTGGGTTTTTTGAAGGGTAATTTTTGTAATTAATGAATGAAATAAATTATTTTCTACATCAATTGTTGTAAGGTGCATTTGACGATCATTTATAGTTGAAAATTGAAAGAATTCTAATGAATCCATATTTGAAGGTAGTTCAACAACTTTTATTTGAATTGAAAAAAAATTAAAAAAATTAAATGCAAATAATTAATAAAAAAAAAATCCATTTAAAAATAAATCAGCTCAATTTACCCTTATTAGCAGTGTTTCCCATATTTGAACAAAAATAAACATAGGCTTTAAATACATCATTTGGAGTTAAATCTTTATTCTTTGAATGTTTTTGCTCTTCTGGGCATTCATTATCACTGTCAACATCTTTTTGGGAATTATCATCTTCTTCATCTTCATCTTCATCAGAGAGAGAGAGAGAGTCTTCATCATCTTCTTCATTTTTTTCACCTGTGCCATTTTCGTCATTACTAGATGATGTTGTTGATTTTTCTTTCACAAATACTACAATACAAGAACCATCAGGTGTGCTTGAAATATTTGTAGAATCTGGTAATGTTGCAGGACGAAATTGACCAGTTATAAGATTATAAATTTTTGCTCTACCATTTGTTTCCACAAAACATAATTCTTCAGTGTTTTTTATGAAGAAAAAATATTTAATATCTGGTGCTGAATTATTATAATATTGTAGAATTTGAATATTGGGGTTGCGACTATAAAGACTGGCTTGATTTTCATCAAATGCATAAACATTTAGCTAAAGTTTTTTGGTTTGTGAAAAATAATAAGTTATATATATTACTTACAATTATTCATTATAATGGATAAATACAAAAATAAATAAATAAATCAATTTACCACTCCTTTTTCAGCAACATAAATTCCAATTAAACCTTTGGGTTCATTTATAGCAAAAAGACAATCACCATCAGGATTTAATGTTTTTAGTGGTTTTAAATTTGATAATTGAAAAGCTGATTTTAAGCGATTAGAATTTTCAAAAAAAATTTCTATTTGATTTGATTTTTTATTCCGAAGTATTATTAGGAACTTTCCATTTTCAAATTGAGATATTTTTCTAAAAAATATTGCATTATTAATTTAATTCTTTGATTAATATCAAGAATATTGAAAAATTGATTACCTGAGTTCATATCTTTCTGGATCTATTTTGAAGGATGCATGTGAATTTTTATCATTGTCAAGATGAAGTTTTGGAACATGTAGCTCATATTTTTGAATATTTGAGTTTTCAGACTCTTCTAAACGTGTTTCATATAATGTGATATTTAGTTGATCAGGTTGTATTGACTCAATTTCATAAGTAAATGTTAAGCTATGAGTGTATCGTGCTAATTAACAAGCCAATTATGTTAACAGACAAGAAAATATTAAAGCACTTGATTCATGCAGAGTTTTAGAAAATAGATATTTAAATTAGAATTACCTTCTATTTTTAATAATTTAAAAGTTGTGCTGTCAATTTAAAATTAAAAATTAATAATTAAAAGATTATTTATAATACAAATAAATCATTTTAAATTATATTTTAATTACCCTTTTGAAAATTTTTCTTCAAGTATTGAACAAATTCTTTTAAATTCATGCTCTTCGATTTTTTTAGTGTCCTGTAAACTTTCTTTCATTAGATTTTCTTCATATTGATCCTTAATATCTGCATATTTTGGTATAATATCTTTAATATTACTAGAACATTGTACATTCCTCCAATTTTGGTATTCTCCAAAAAATATGCTAATAACTCTATCCCCTGTTTCTTGGGTCATGTTAAATAACTCAGAATTATTAAGTTGTTTAACAAATTTAGAGTCAGAAATTTCATTTGCCATTTGGGTTGCTTTTTGAATATTCCTTTCAATAACATGAGATTCAATGACAACGGGTTGAATAGTGTGAGAATCATCTTCATTAGAACTAGATCTCTTAAACATACTACCAATATTACTAATAAATGATTGAACAGTTGAAAGAAAATTTTTCTCCTGTGAAATGTCTGTGTATTTTTTTGTTAATTTACTATAATCTTTTTCTTCATCAAGTAACATTTTTAAAAAAAATTCTGAAATTATTTTTTTACATTCATTTGAATCAGAATTATCTTTTTTGTTAGAGTTGTCATTTGTTTCCAACTTTTCATTTGAATCGGGAATATCATTCGAATCTTGATCATTATTGAAATTTGAATTGCTGCCCAACTCTAAATTATCATTTTTTGGCATATTAAATATCTCCATAGTTATAAATGAACAGAATAGGAATCTCTTTTTCCAAGTTTTCCACAATTTTGAGTTTATTACAACAGCCTTTTCTATTTTTTGATTTATAGCTGGGTATTTTTCATAAACTTCTTTGATTTCTATTTACAATTAATAAGTATATAGCTGTTAAATAGGATCTAGTTATATTTATTATTTAAGAAGATTGCAACTTACTTGAATCATTAAATTTGGGCACTGTATTATCATCATTAATAATAACTTCAAATTTACTGTTAAAAAGTAATAAAAGGTCAAAATTATTCAATGGTATAATTAATTGATTTAAAATGTCATTATACCTGTAAGATTCTTTTAATCTCATCCAGGCCATGTTTGTTATGATTTCTGCATGCCCTTTAATTTCTTCGTTTTTATTTTGTTTTTCTTTATTAAATGTTGAGTTTATAGCTTTCAATGAATCATCATATGATTTTAATAAATCATTTTCCTCATCAAGACAAACTTCAATAAATATTTTTAGTGATTTCATGTCTATAGAATCTTCTATTTTGAGGGAATGGTCTTTAATAAGATCTTTAAATGATGATTTATTATTAGCATATTTTGAAAAAAACTTTGAATGTCTTTGCATATTTGGGGTTGATTTTATAATACTTTGAGTGATGAATGCTTGATGTGATACAGACTCAACAACTATTTTTAAAATTTTTTTAAGTTAATGGAATTGAAAGTATTCAAGTGGTAAAACAGAATAATGATAATACCAATAGGTTGCAATAAAGTCTTATTATGATGAATAATTTCAAGGTCAGGTTGAATAGAATTTGGTAGTTGATGAAGATGATGAAGATGATGAAGATGACGAAGAAGATGAAGATGATGAAGATGATGAAGAAGATGATGACAAAAGAAATGATGACAAAGAATATAATGACAAAAAATATGATGATGGCAAAGAAGAAGATGATAAAAAAGATGAGTTATATGATGATGAATGTTTGGAAAAACAAAAGGATTCAAAGAATACTCCAAGTGATGTATTTAAAGCCTATGTTTATTTTTGTTCTAACATGGGAAACACTGCTAATAAAGGTAAATTGAGCTAATTTATTTTGAATGGGTTTTTATTAATTATTTTCATTTAACATATTAAAAATTTTTTTAATTCAAATAAAGTTGTTGAACTACCCCCAAATATGAATTCAATAGAATTACTTCAATTTTCATCTATAAATAATCGCCAAATACATCTTACAACAATTGATATAAAAAATAATTTATTTCTTTCATTAGTTACTAAGATTACACTTGAAAAAACCCAGTACAGATTTCAACAGTGTAATCAAGGAAAGCTAGTTGGTCAAGTTAAATTGCTGAGAATCTTCACTGATTCTAACAATAATAATTATTCAAGTTTAAAAGGAAAAAACACTAGTTTTAAACATGCAGTGCATAAAGGAGAGTACATTGTTATTAAAAAAGAAAAATTAAGTGTTGTTGATGTAATTTCAAACACTGAATTGAAGGTTGCAGGTGTATATCAGACCTTATCACTTGATGATGATACATGGATTGACTTTCAAATTGAACCAAAGATAAAACTTAATGGTTTTATAGATGCATATAAATTAATGTTTGAAAAGTATCCAGTTGAGAGTTGCATAGATCCTGAACAAAATCGGCCACTTAATTTGAAAATTGTCCTTGATATAAATGATGATTGTAAAGATGAAAATTATGATAGAAAGTTTGAAAAATATGTTGTTAGCATGTTCAATGAATTAAAGAAGAAAACAAAAAAACCTGCATCTATTTTAAAGCATTTTAAAACTACTGTTACAACATTTTCAGAACTAGACATTGAAGAAAATGATTTTATATCAAAACATTCAAATAAATATCAACTAGGAGATTTTGTAATTCAACTTTCATGTTTAATACCCATTCAGATTGCAGTTGCTAAAAATAATCAATTTCAACCACTTCGGGATGGTTTATCTTCAAATGAGCATGATGTAGATTTTGATGTTGAATATGGATGTCGCTTTGATGGTATTGCAGAAAGTATTTCTCTTGGATGGTATGAAGGTATATTTAAACATTTTGGTAATAGACAAGTTAAAGTTGTTTCAAGTATGGGTGAGCAATCATGTGGAAAATCATATATGTTGAATCACCTTGTTGGAACAACATTTGATGGTTCTGCAATGAGATGCACTGAAGGAGTGTGGATGTCTTTAGTTATAACAAAAAAAAATATTTATGTTGCACTTGATTTTGAAGGTTTAAAATCTTTGGAAAGAACACCACAAGAAGACTTATTTTTAACTTTGTTTAACACAATGGTTTCAAATTTGATACTTTTTAAAAACCAATTTGCTGTTAGTAGAGACATGTCAGAAATGTTTCAAAGATTTCAAGATGGTGCAACTTTTTTTAAATCTGACTCAAATGTTTTTCAAGCAAAACTTTGCATCATAATTAAAGATGTTCATGAAAATGATCGAAAAGGAATTGTTGATGAGTTTCATCTCAAGTTTGAAGATTTGGTTAAAAAACAAGGAGAAGATAATTTTATTACTAGAATGTATAAAAGTGGATTAACTATTTTTCCATGGCCATTATTTAATGATCCTGCTTGGTTCAAAACTTTGAAAACTGTTAAAAAAAAATTAGATAAACAGAAAGCAAAATATGAAAATGCACGAACTTTTTTACAAAACACTAAAGTCATTATGGCTAAATTAAAGATTTGTGATTGGGGATCTTTGGATGAAAACCTTGTTCAAATGCGTTTATCAATTTTAAAAAGAATACTTCCAATAGCTATATCTTATGGCTTAGAGCAAAAGGAGCAAGAAATTAAGCCCTTAATAAATCACAATACAGGAGAGAAAATAGATGATCAACCTCAATTAAATCATGACACTGGGGAGAAAACAGATGGCCAAACTCATTTATCTAAATTTGCAGAAACCTTCAATACACAAAATGAACTATTTCCAGATTCAGATGTTTTACTCTTTGAAGAAAATGCTGATTTTGTTGATTTTTCATATGATCTAAGAAATCAATTTGAAGATAAAATTCAAGAAAGGAAAAAGTCTGAAAAAGATTCAGAATGGTTTAGTAAATTAGAAATGTTTTTCAATTTTATTATTGAACGAAGAGTATATCGTGTTGAGCAATGGTTTTTACAAAATATTAACAAATTTCCACAAGACAATAGTGAAGTTGTTATTGGAAAATATGCTCTTGAAAAAGAAATCAACAATCTTAGGCTTTTTTGGACATTATGTGGGCTTTCTTGTCAGGATTGTGGATTACGCTGCCTTAAAAATCATGGTCATACTGACAATCATGACTGCAAGACTAATCA